TTTTTTTTTTTTTTTTTTTTTTTTTTTTTTTTTTTTTTTTTTTTTTTTTTTTTTTTTGTGGCAATAACTTAAATTATAAAAAACTACCACTTTTTATAAGAAAAAAAATTATTCGACAATTCATTAAGAAATATGCATATTAATAGATATTTAAAAATAATATATTTTTTAGTCTTAAAGTTTGATTATTATTAATATCATATTTTTGCACTTATTTTCATTAGTCTTCGGAAAAAAAAAAAAAAATGCCAAAATAATTTCCTAAAATTATTAATAAATAATATAAAAAAAAAAAAAAAAAGATTAAATAATTATAATAAAATTTAAATTAAACTAAACATTTAAATATAAAGCTAAAAAAAAATTCATTTAAAAAAAAAAAAAAATTGAATTAAAAAACATTATAAAAGTTAGCTACAATAATAATTCAGTATATCTAAGGTTTTTTAATATATAAAAAAGCATATTTTTATATTTCTTCTTTCGTAATTATATATGTAAAAATTTCACAATAATATAATAAAAAAAAAATAAGATATTATATATTGTGTAAATTAAGAACATAAAATTATTAATATAGTTATTTAGAAATTAGTTTAAAAGAAAAACTTCTATATATGTTAATAAAAAAATACCATTTTTGAAAGAATATTTTTTAAAAAAATGGATAAAATAAAAGAATACGATAAAGAAAAAGAACAAGAAAAATGTAATGTAGTACAAGGTGTTCAAGGTATTAAAAAATTATCATCAAAAGTATTAAGTGATAAACTGAATAATTTGGATGTTAGTAAAGTATTTGATAATATAGATGATCACATAAAAAAACATCCATTTATAAATGATTTAGCAAAAAAGTTTGGTGTTAAACCATCCTATATTATTGTTCCTTTTTTTTTTTTTTTATTTATTTCATTGATATTTGGATGGGGAGCAGCATTAATATGCAATGTACTTGGATTTGCATATCCAGGTATTATAAAAAAAATTAATAGATTAAAAAGGGAGAGTAAAAACAAATAAATAAATAACAAAAAAAAAAAAAAAAAAAAAAATAAGTTTATAATTTATGTATTATGTTCATATTATTTTTTATACTCTCATTTAAATAACCTCTATAGGTATGTATATTCATAAAATAATATATATATTTTTTTTTATGTGCATATATTAAAATATATATTCATATGATTTTATTTTTAATTTCTTTTATATTAATTGAATAATAATATAGCGTATCAATCTTTTAAAGCTGTGGAGTCTCAAAGTACAGATGAAACAAAATTATGGTTAACATATTGGGTTGTTTTTTCTTTGTTTTTTTTTCTTGAATATTTAATTGATATAATTTTATTTTGGATCCCTTTTTATTATTTAATAAAATTACTTTTTCTTTTATATTTATATATGCCACAAGTTAGAGGAGCAGAAATGGTATATAATTTTATTATTAGACCAATTTTATTAAAACATGAAAAAACAATTGATGACACTGTTCAGAAAATCAGTCAAACAGCTACTAGCCATTTAACACAAATTACAGGAAATTTAACGGAGAAATTAGTTCAGGAAGGAATAAGGAGAAGAAATGTTAACTAATCATAATAAAAATATATACGTATAAAATTATTATTACAATTATAATATTATAAAAAATAATAAAATTCTAAAAATACATTATTAAAAAAAAAAAAAATTATAAATGGTTATATAACTAATAAAGTATAATGATAAAAATAATATGAAAAAATAAAATATAATTAAATATAATAGCATACAATATTCGAATATACAAAAAAAGATAAAAATATATATATATATATTTATATAAATTTTTTTCAGTAAAAAGATATGAAAATATTAATCTATATTTATGTAGTGCTTTTTTTTTTTTTTTTTTTTTTAAATGTTCAAAAATTTAAGAATAAATATTTTTTTAACCTTATTAAGACAAAAATATTTTCATATATATATTCTTTTTATTTTTTATTTTATTTATTTTTTTTTTTTGTTTTTTAGTTTTTATCAGGTAATTTTTTTTAAAATTGTCTATGTATACAAATGTTTCTTTTAGTATTTACTTTTGCAATTACATTTATTATTTGAAATATTTGATTTGCAATATATGCCTCTATAAATATATAAAAAAAAAAAAAAAAAAAGAAAAATTTATTATTATAGATGACATTAAAATTATACTTAAAAATAAAATAATTCACTTATAAAAAAATTATGAAAAGAATAAAAATTTATATGAATGCTCTTACATTATGCAATTTGCAGAGCATTTTTTGTATAAATGTAATATATTACATAAATATTATTATAAAAAATTAGTGTTTATTTAATAATTTTTTTTTTTTTTTTTTTTATTATTATTATAATAGATTATTTCTATTATTCTTTCTTTTTTTTTTAATATTTTATTTTATAATTTTAGTTTTAAATAGCCTTATTTAAAAAAAAAAGAGGAAAAAAAAAAAAAATTAAAATTATAGAATATACAAAATTTTGAAATTAATATTAAATTAAAACTTCTAATTATTAAATTATTTCCTACAAAAATTCTTGTATCAACCATTAAATATTATCTATTATTTGAAATTTATCTTATTTTTTTTGTTATTTAAATATAAGAGACTTTAACGTTTTACTAGGTGTATACATTTAGAAATATGAAAAAAAGTTTTCCTTAAATTATATGCTTTTTTAAGTTTTATATTAATATATTTATATGCCTTTTAAAATATATTAAAAAAAAGAAAAAGAAAAGGGGCTTAACATGTTATAAATAAGTTTAAATATATGAAGATATTAAAACAATCATATAAAAAAAAAAAAATAAATAAATTAACATCATAAAAATTTTCTATTAAAAAGTGTGATCAAAAAAAAATTATATATCTTGTAAATTTTTAAATTTTATATATAAGGAACAAATATTTTATTATTTATTTAGAGTAATGAAGATTATTGAAATTAAGAAAAATTATAAATCACAATATATTTTATTTCTCTTTTTTTTAATTAATGTATTTTTTTTTTTTTTTTTTTTTTTTTTTTTTCAGTGCATTAATGTAGAAAAAAAAAATTTAAGAGCATAAATTCACAAAAAATAATACTCCAATATAAACATGATACTTTAAAAAAAAAAAAATATTCACAAAATAAAAAAAAAAATTCGTATAACAAAAAATTTTTAAAAAATATTAAGAAAAAAAAATTTAATTCAAATATATTTATTAGAAAGTATTTCAATATACATTTTAATTTTAGAAAATACTGAAATTTTTAAGAATTTTTTAAAAATTAAAATTCATTCTCTTTTTATTTCTGATTAATTTATAAATTTTTTTTGAATACACCAAAAATTGAATTATTCAAAGTAAAAAACAAAAAAAAAAGAAAAAAAAAAATTAAAATAATAAAAACACTTTTCTATATATATAATCCATTGATTATTTTTTAAAAATTATATAATATTTTGTATTTCATTATAAATATAGAAAAAAAAAAATTTCAGAAGTTTTTTTTAACTTGTGATTTTTTTTTTTTTAAATTTTATTTTTTCATATTTCTATTATTTATTTATTTATTTTTTTTTTTTAAGATTATATAATCGATAATATATTTATATATATTTTTTTTTTCTTAATAATAGATGGTTCGCATGAGTGTATTAGCCGATTGCTTGAAAACAATAAATAATGCTGAAAAGAGGGGAAGACGACAAGTTTTAATTCGTCCTTCATCAAAAGTTGTTATAAGATTTTTGAGATATATGCAAAAAAAGGGATATATTGGAAACTTTGAAATAGTAGATGATCACAGATCAGGAAAAATTGTTGTTAATTTATTGGGAAGAATAAATAAGTGTGCTGTTATATCACCAAGGTATATATATATATATATATATTAACATGTGTATACTAATATATATGTAAAAAAAATAGCAAATTTCATAAAAAAAAATTTAATGAAATACATTAAAAAAGATATTAAAATTTTTTTTTTAATATTTAAATAGGTATGATGTAAAATTAGAAGAAATTGAAAAGATTATAACAAGCATATTACCAAGTAGACTTTTTGGCCATTTAATTTTAACAACACCATATGGGATAATGGATCACGAAGAAGCAAGAAGAAAACATACAGGAGGAAAAGTTTTAGGTTTTTTCTTTTAAATTTTAAAATTTGTAAAATTCATAATGTATTTTATTTATAAAGAAAATAAAAAGGGTTTAAAATGTGATTATTTTGGATTATTTACATGAAATATATATATGAAATGTTATTTTATTTTATTATTTTTTTTTTTTTTTTTCTTATTTTTATCATTATATATGTGTATATATAAATGTAATAGTTTTTTTTAATAATTCAAAAAGGATATTTTTTGTTTTTGAAAATTATTACAAGAAATCATTTTATTAGCATGTGTAATATATATAATTAAAAACAAAAAAAAAAAAAAAAAAAAAAAAAAAAAAGAAGAAAACTAAAGAAATAAAAGGTTATCCATGTTAAAGTTAAAAATTAATTGGAATTACAGTTTTAGGATAACAAAAAATTATTGCAAATTTTAAAATTATTTTTTAAATAAAATTAAAATAATAAAGTGTATATATGCAAGTTTTAATTACATAAAAAATAAAATTTTAAAAGTATTTACATAAAAAAATAATTATGTCAAAATTACATAAAAAAATGGTATTTTAGAAATTTTTTATCAAAAGGATAATAAAAAAAAAATTATATAGAATAAAAATATAAATGTTTGTTATTAAAAAAAAAAAAATATTTTTTATGAAATTCAATTAAAATAGTGATTTTATTTTTCATAATATAGAAATAAATTGAGGGAAATATTAACTTATTAAAAAAAATATATATATATATATATATATATATATATTTATTTATATATATTATGTTATTTCATTTTTATCTATATTCTTTAATGGGAACTTAATAAATGAAGTAAAAAGACATCTGCAGATTGGGCATTTTTCTTGCCTTAATGATTTCATACAATCATAACAAAATGAAGAATGGCGACATGGCATTAATAAAGTATCTTTGTATGAAGTCATACAAATTAAACACTCTTTATCATGTTCTTCATGACCATATATATCTAAAATGTCTATAAATTGAACAATGTTGCATTTTTTTTTTGATTTTTGGGAAGAAACATTTTGATTTAATACACATATATCTTTAATTATAAAAGGTTTATATTTATCCTTTATTTTTTTAAAGTCTACTAAAACAATTAATGTATTACAATTATCATTTTTTTTTGGTTTTTTGCTAGCTTTATTTAAATTGAATTGATCATCAGAAGGAATATCATTTAAAACAATTATTAAAGGTATTCTTATATTATCTTCGTTACTCATTATTGTATTTTCTTGAACATCTATCTTGTTTTTCTTTAGTTTTTTCTTTTTGTTTTCATTTTCCTCTTTTTCTTTTTGTTTAATCACATTAGTCTTTTCAACTTCTATTTCATTTAGAATTTCGGTTACGCAAAAATTTTCATCATATGGCATAGTATAAGTAACATTATTACCGTTACTAAAAAATGATTTTGGTGATTTATAAAAACATGTATTGAAATCAATCATTTCATCATCTTTAGAATCTAAGTAATAATCATTTTTTTTTTTATCTAATAACAAAGTAGTTGCATCTGAGATTTGTTTATTTGGTATTGATTTACTAAATCCATCCTTAAAAAAATTTTTAAAATTATCTATGCATATTACAGTGTTTGGCCCATTTATAGATTTTTTATTTAATTCCATTCTGTTATGAATAATTTCGTTTACTTCTTTTAATAATACTCCCCAAAACAATCTAATATACAGTGAATTTTTTGAAGAAAATGTGAAAGAAATAGAATATTTATATAGCTGATTTAAATCATTACAACTAGAACTTAAATAATTTTTATATAGTTGTATATTATTTTTTACACTTATATTTAAATTTATTTTATCAACGCTTTTTGGTGTTATTTTTTTTTTTATTCTTATAATATCATTTACGTGACTTCTACAAAGCATTTTAACTTCATTAATATATCTTGACATATTTTTCATATAAATTGCCTAAAAGAAATATTATGTGTATATTAAAAAAAAAAAAAAAGTTAAATAGTATAATAAACATACAATTATAAGTATAATGAATAACATTTACATATGTTAATATAATAAGGAACAACAAAGAGATATAAATTATTTTTAATTATAAAAAGAACTATCATGTATGTAATAAATATTTTTTAAAGAAGTACCTTCCTATTTTTTAGATATTTCATAATATTATACGATGCATAAAACCTTGATACAATTGATAAAAACCATAAAAACATGATAAAAAAAAGGAAAAAACACATTGTGTTTAAAAAGCTAGAAGTATTGAATATACATAATAATTCCTCATCTTTGCAATTATTGGTCATAACAAGATTTTTATACATATCTAAGTCATATTCATCTATTATGTTCATTTTGACTCAAATTATTTTCCTATTTATTAATTTTAAATATAAAAAAAAAAAAAAAAAGAAACAAAAAATAATATAATTACATTTAGTTAACATGCTAAAATAAAATTTAAATAAATCTATTATTAACTATAATTATTTTATTTTTCAAGATAATTTCAAAAATAAAATTATTAAAAAAACATTACTAATTAATTACAAATTCCCATATTTTATATACAAATATTTTTAAGAAATTAACAATAAATTTATCAAGTTATAATCATTTAATATATTTTAATTTTTTTTTAAATTTTTTGTAAGTATAAAAAAATTTTATGATAATTTAAATATTAAAAATATGGTTTTTAATTTATAGCCGTACTTGCTAATAAAAAAAAAAAAAAAAAAAAATATATATATATATATATAAATATAAATATACTAATATATGTAACAGAAATTTTTTTTTTTTATTATAATATTTTTAGTGTTTAAGAATGTAATAAATAAAAATAAACAAAGAACTTTCAAAAGCCCATTTGTGTTATCATTAACATAAATTTTTAAACAGTTTAAGATAAAAACATAAAAAGAAATATATATATATATATTTTTTTTTTTTGATTATTTATTTCATTTTAAATTAAGATATATGTTAGTATATTTTCTTTTAGGCTTCTTCTTTTTTTATTAAAATATTTTGTAATTATGTATAATTGTGAAAGCTGTTTTTCTCTAAATTTTTTGTATTCATATTTATATGAACTTTCATTTATTATTTAATTATATTTGTATAAGTGTTTTAACCTTTTTATTGATTTAATGGTATTTATATATATTTTCATAATAGATATAATCTTAAAAAAAGTAAAATATAGTAGAATTTAATAATAAAGTAAAAAAAAAAAAAAAAAAAAAAAAAAGATTTATAATAATATAGATAAATGTATTTTTTGTTACATAATCTTAATTTTTTTTTTTTTTAATTTTTATTGATTTAATTGTTCTACATATTCTAAAGCTATTTTCATTGCGTTTTCTAATATACTTTCCTCTATATTTTGAAATTCATATGAAGACTCTTCACATATCCATGATAAATTAACTAAATTTGATAAATTATCTTTATTAATATGATCATCACTAGTTAATATAATTTTATAAATATCGACTAAAGCATCTTTTACATTTATGTTTTTGTAATTTTTTTTTTCAATCTCTGTTTTAAACATTTCTTTATTCTTTCCTATAACTACTCCTGAGTATTTATAACATGCCCCATTTGGTTCTATGCAGTATATTTCACCTAATAAATAATGTGAAATAAAAACATATGAATATATAAAAATTAAATAAAAAGGATAATAAGATATAGTATTTTTTTTTTTTTTTTTAACGTTTAAAAAAATAATGTCATAATATTCTTACTGTATTTTATATATATATATATATATATATATATATATATAATGCAAAATCAGTACTATATAATCATATATTCTTTAATATCATAATTTATATACTAAAAATAACTTTTATATCTTGTTATTTTTTTTCTTTTCGATACATATATATATAATAATAAGTTGTAAAATACAATATATATAAAGGATTCTCTTCTTTTTAAATTACCTTTTTCATTTTTATCAAATGAAGCTAGAATAATTGATAAAGCGAATGGCCTTAAATGCCAATATAATGTATATGCGTGAATATATAAAGAAATTCTATTAGCTAAAATATGTAATGGTATATTTGTATGAAAATTATAATAATAGTTATTAGCTTCACTTTTTGCTCTATCTATTATATTTCTTGCATCTCCATCTAATCCTGCATATGTAATTATAATGTTGTTATTAATGTGATATAATCTATTATAACTATTTTTCTTAATCATTTTATTTTTATCTAAATTTGAATTAATACAACAACTTATTATTCCATCTTTACATTCTAAACTTAAAGCTGTATTATTATTATTTATCGATTTATAGATATATTCAACTTGATATAGCCTCCCATCTGGTGAAAAAGTAGATACTGATAAATCATACCCTGCACTTAATCCTGCCATATTATAATAATTTTATTAAATAAAAAAAATTCCAAAAAAAAAAAAAAAAATTTAAAGTATTTATTTAGTTATTAACAGAAAATTAAAATGATTCTTATATAATTTATAATTATATATAAATATATGGAAATTTTTTTGTTAAAAAAAAAAAAGAACAAAAAATCACTTTCTGAAAGCTATATAATTATGCATCAATATTTGTTTCCTTTTATTTTACATATATTATTAAGCTTCATTTGGGATAAATTTAAAAAAAAAAAAAAAATTAAAATATTTTTTATTTATGTGTATTACTTAAATATAAATATAATCTGAATAAAAGCAATGCTTTTTATTATCTTTTAGTACAAAAAAAAAAAAAAAAAAAAAAAAAATTAAAATAAAAATAAAAAAAATCCTTTTAGATATATATGTATATATATAAATATATTTTGATGTAAATATGAATTACAGATATTAAAAATTACACTTTTTTTTTTAATATTTTGGAAAAAATTTGTACTAAAAATAAATTTGTAATTTCAATTATATAAAATATGTAAATGTTTGTTCTTTTATGCTTATATATGCTTATATAAAATGCATTTTTTTTTTTTTTTTTTTAAATATATATTTATTCAACATAAAGATATTATATAAATAACAGTATACATAATAAATTACATAAAACTAAATGTAATGTTAGAATAAAAAAATTATTTAGAATTAACATATTTTTCTTTAGCATATTGAAAATCTAGCTATGATAAATCTTATTTTTATTAAAATAAAACTAATAAAAGGTACACCATATATATTTATAATTTTGTAGAAGTTATTTATTTTTCATTATATATATTAGGAAAAAAAAAAATTATAAATTGAAATAGTATTTAAATATCAGAAAGATCTAAGAATTACTTATGAGAAAAAAGTTGAAACTTAAAATATTGAAATTGTATATATGAAGACTTCTTAGAAAAATATATTATTTAATAAATATAAAGATATTTTTATGACAAAGTCATAAATATTTCTGAAAAATATTAATATATAGGTTAATAAATTATTGTAAATAATTAAAATAAAATTTTTATGTAGTTTTACCATAAACTCTTTTTTAAATATTTTTTTTTCTCCTTTTTTAAAATTATTTGCCTATTTATTACGATTTAATGTTTTTAATAAATTTGATTAAAACAAATTTATCTTCTAAGTATTTCAAAAGAAAAAAAAAAAAAATCATAGATTTTCATATGAAATTAATAAGACAATTTTTTAATGCAATTATCATCTATTTTAAAATTCCTATATTTTTTTAACAAACTTTATTTCATTTGAAAAAAAAGAAATGTGAAGGTTTTTAAGAATGTTGTAAAAAGTATTCTAAATTAAATATAACTTTAACAAATAGCTCTATAAAAATATATAAATATAAATTTAATAATGATATCTATAAATTTATATTTTCATTTCACAATAATATAAAAAGGAGAAAAAAAAAAAAATGATTATTTTAAAATCCATTATAATTATTATATAAATATTATTATGTTGGTTGTATTTATCATTATAATATGTTTTACGTTCATATAAACTCAAAAGATTTTATTGCTTGTTCATGTGAAATATTACATTTTATGATTTTTCATTTTGTAGAATTTAAATGACATATATTAAAGAACATACGAGTTTATATAGAAATTAAAATTTATTTAAATGAAATATATAAAAAATAAAAAGCAAAAATTAAATTAATTTTATTTAATTTTTTTTTTTTTTTTTCATCAAAATGAGAAAAAAAAAATGCATGTCTTTTTTTATAAAAAAAAAAAAATATAATACACACACCCAAATGAATCTTATAAATAATAAAAAGCAAATATAATATTTGAGTGAAATTAAAGTTTATTCAGAAAAAAAAAAAAATAAAAATGAAAAAACTATAATAAAGATACATATTATTATATAAATTTTAAAATTTTTATTTCTTATTTACTTTTTATATTTTTATCCTAGAATTGTCCTTACAACTATAGATACTATTTTGTTTAAATTTATTTTTTTCTATTTATATATAATTGTAGGTTTTATAAAATTATATTTTATTTTAAAACAGTTGTATTAAAAAAATAAAAAAAAAACATGTAGATTTTATGAAGCCAAAAAAAGTGAGGAAAAATGAAAATAATTTTAAAATAAATTATTTGTCTTGTTATAAATATTCTACTTAATGCAAAAAAAAAAAAAAAAATAAAAATATAAAAATTATATTTTAAAAAAGAAATATTTCTTTTATATGTATGGGTGTTTTTTTAAAGTTCTTTTTTTGAATGATTTTAGTAATCTTTATACGAATTAATTTTTTTTTTTTTAACTTTGGGCTTTAAATAATATTAATGTTTTAAATATTAAAATATTTTTAAAAATTAATAAATATATATGTAATACATTAAATTTATTATATAGAATTTTTATTTATATTTTAATATTTTTAATCATTTTTATTTTATAGTTTAACAAATATAGGCTATTTTTATTATTATTAATAGTATTTAGTATGTCTTTATGTGTATTATATTATTTTTAAGCAAAAAAGTGGTTCTTATTCTATTTGTATTATTTTCTTATTTACTTTATTAATGTAGATTTGAAACTTATTCAATTTTTATTCAATTCGTTTATTAATTATAAGTTTTTTTTTTTTTTTTTTTTGTTTACTGTCTTTTTTTTCTTTTTTTTTCTTTTTTTTTCTTTTTTTTGAAAGTAAACTATTATTAATTCTAAATAATGCATAAATTAAATTATATTTTAATAAAAATAATATTGCTGAGTAATTTATTTATACTTAGTGAAAAATTGAGAAAATTTGATCCTACTAAAAAAGAAGAAAGACAATTATTTTTAGATGTAACATATAATTGTGAGTACAATGGATTTATAAATTTAAATAAAGATTTTATTTTACATTATTGTTTTTTTGCTGGAGAAGATGATCATAATGGTTTAGTTTTTAGAAAATTTTTTACAAAGGATTTAGTATGGGGAAATAGCTTGGAAGTTTTGAGAACAAACAAAAAGATTAATCTATTTATATTTGTAGATGATTATTTACTAGAAAAATTAATTTTAATTTACAGTTATGACAGAAAAATAAGAATAACAGTATTTAATAATTATACAGAACCTTCAGATCATATAGATGAAATTAGTTTAAGTTATGATATTTTACATAAATTTAATATGATTTCTAAAATTACTTACTTTTACCAAAGCAAAAAATCATTATGTGTTTGTGGAATGAATAGAGATGAAAACATTTTTTGTACTTTCTCTTTTGATTATGGTTTATCAATGGAGGATGATAATTCTATTGAATTTGTTTTAAAAAAAAAAATTCCAATGGGTCATTATAGAATGGAGGTAAAATTTGAGGAAGATTATGTTTATTTTAACTTATTTGATGATTTAAATGACATTAATTTCTATGAATTGAAATGTATTAAATTAGATGATAAATATGAATGTGATATCTTAAATAAAGTAATAAAAGATCTAGATAATTTTAAATATAAACATATATTGAGAAATGAATACTTTGAGATGGTTGCTTTTGAAAAAGAAAATATGTGTTATATAGGTTGGTCATTTAACTATACAAATATAAATAATGAAATAAATAGAATAATAACAGAATCTCCATGCTCTAATGTATCATCATATTATAAAAATGAATCATTAATAATTACATACAAGAAAAGTGAAAATGAAAATATCTTTTATACTATATTTGAAGTAAGATAACATAGTAAAAAATTTTATGAATATTTTTATTTATATTTATAAATTTTAAATGATAACATAAATTATATATAAAATTATACATTATTTTATGAATCATATATATATATATTTGTGTTTTACTATGTTTGCATACTTTTTTTTTTTTTTTTTTTTTTTTAGAATTTAGTTATGAAAGTAGAAGGATGTGAATACAAAAGTGGGGGAAGTTTATATGTTATGAATAATTTTTTAAATAACAGTTGTGTAATAAATATAAATAATATGAACGTTACATCTTCTAATCATGATGAAATAAATTTTAGCATCGTTGTTCCAAGCAAATTTAACTTACAAGAAAAATGTTTTTTATCAAATCATTTATACAAAAATAAGAAGACTAATTTATATTATTTAGAAGAAGAAAATAAAGAAGAAGAAGATATAAAAATTTATACTTTCTATTTCTATAAGTATATTTTAACTTTTACTAATTTTGCAGGAAGCAAATGCATATTTGAAAGTAATAATAAAGAAAAATTAGAAGTATCATTAATATCAAAAAACTTTTATAAGGAATACAACTGCGACATTTCATTAGATTCTTGCGATTTTTTTGTTCATAGTCAAAGTAAAATAAATATACGTTATAATGATGAATGGATAATTGATAGAGAATTAGCAAAATCTAATGTTATTTATAATGAATCACATATATCTTTATATGATATTATTAGCTTTTCCAATGTAAATGAATTGATAACTATTAATAATAATATGATACAAATCACTATTCCATCAATTATTCCTCATACTAGGACTATAAAAATAGAATTTACGAAAAATGAAACAGAAGAGAAACGTAATGTTTTTATAAGATTTCAAAAAGATGTTTATCCAATTAAAAAAGTACTAGGTGTAAATTTTTCAGATATTTTTGATATTTATTACAAATATTATAATTATTATAACGATAAAGTGAAATTTTTATTAAATGAATTTGAAGAAACTTCTTATATAGGTATGATATGTCAAACAAAAAATGAAATAACTTCTGAACCTTGTTCATTAGCTCTTACAGATTTTTTTAATAAATTAATTCAAATACAAAATTTATTTCCCAAAACAATGCCTTTTTTATACTACAATAAAAAAAAAAAGATACAATCAAGTAATTCTTATTTCTTAACTGAAACACGTTTTGTTGTTTTTAAGAATTTTGGTTCCTTTTTAGAAAAAAATGGCATAAAATATGCAAATTTTATATGTAAATGTCCTTCAAGAAATTCCAATTCAAATAAATTTAATGAAATTAATTTCACTATAACTAACGAAAGAATATCTCCAGACGTTCTTCAATCTCCTGAAGTTATTGAAGAATCTAAATCATCTGAAGATTCTAAAGTTTCTGAAATATCTGATACTTCTAAATCTTTTAAACCTTTTAAATTTCGTGAGCTTCCAAGAATTACTAAAAAAACTTCAGAAAGAATTTTAAGATTAACAAATGAAATAAATGATGAATCTTCTTATAGAGAAAATTTTTCTAATTATTTTAAATTAAATATTTTTATACTTATTATTACTCTTATTATTACATAGTACTGTTATTTCTTTATTTTAATAGTATTCATATGTATTCTTATATACTTTGTGTATATATTTTTTTATATTGAGCGATTATCTATATTTAAATATGTTGTATATTTTTATTTTTTAAATAGACACTTTTAAAAATTTTTTTTTTTTTTTTTTTAAGATTGTTTTAAATATATTTTATCTTTTTCATATTTTAAATCATATTTTAACTTTTCCCTTTTATTTTAAAACATATCATATGTGCCTAATAGGTACAATGCTTAAGAATTTTAATAATACATCTTTTATATTCTTAAAACATAATACTATTAATTATAAATCTAACCAATATAATAACGAGGATAAATATTTGTTACTTTTATTAAAACTCAAAAATAGTTAATAAACAAATCTTTAGTGTATTCTTTTTTTTTTTTTTTTTTTTTTTAATAAAAGGAAGATAAAAAAAAAAAAAAATTCATTTAAAATTTGCATTTGAAGCATTAATATGCATTTTTTTTTTTATGTAACTGAAAAAAAAGTTTTAGTTTTAATGCTAAAATATAAATATTTATACAAAGTTATATATTAAAAAAAAAAAATTATATATATTTTATTTTAGTTATTAAAACATAATTCAAATAAAAATCCTATACTTATTTTTATCATAAAAAGGTAAATATATACATTTATATATTTGCTAATATAAATGTATGTATCATTTTAAAAATACAGACAGTGTAATCATTTTTTTTTTTTTTATACATTTATTAAATGCATAAATAATATTTAAAATGAAAAAAGAAAAAATTAATATGTATTGTTGTTTTTTTAAACATTAAAATATATTTATTTTAATAATACTGATTTAAAAATATATTGAAATTGGTACTAAGAACAGTATTATATATAAATATAAATTTAATTATATTTTAAGATTTAGAAGGTATATTGAAAAAAAAAAAAAAAATGTATATATATATTATTTTTATTTATGTATACAAATAAAAAATATAGAAGCCAGAGAAAATTTATATGAAAACCTAAAAATATATATATGTAAATATATATATATATAATATAAACAAAAAATTGTATTTTTTTACATTACTTGTATATATATATATATATATGGCTATTTTTTAATAAAATAAAAATAAAAAAAAATAATTATATATATATATATATATATATGTATATGTATATATTATTTATGAATATATAATGATTTCATAAATCCATAAATATACAAAATGTTATATCAACTTGACTATATAAAAAATAGAAAAATAGGTATCTTTTAAAATGATGAAAAACGAAATGGAATATTCTTTTTTTTCTTTTTGTCTTTTTAAAGTTAAAATATATATTTGATTTAAAAATATAAATAATTTAATTTTTTTTTTTTTTTTTAAATTAATGAATACTATGTAAGTAATAAACAAACAATTAAGCACAAACATAATATGGTATTTTACTATTGTGCAATAACTTTAATAATTAGGAATTTTAAATAATTCATTATTTGTATAAAAATTAAAAACATATACAAATATACTTTTAATTTTTAAAAGAATAATATAATAAAATTTTGAAGATGGTATATTAGATAATTTACTGAATATATATAAAGTATTCATATTATGTTCAATATATAAAGAATATTTATTTATTTTTTTTTATTTCGTTTTATTTCCTTTTTGTTTTATTCTCTTTATTATTTCATTTTTTTTTTTTTTTTTTTCTTAAAAATAGTAAGTTCCGTTTTTCTTATAATATCTCAATAAGTCATCATTTAAATAAAGATGAACATCTTCAAACCATTTATGTTTTAATGCTTGATTTGCTGTAATTCTATTTTTATAATCATAACTTAAAAATTGATCAATTAAATCAATACCATCATCACCTAAAATTCTTCTACCATATATATCTGTGAAAATAATTTGTAACATTTTAATTCTGTCAGTTTTAAATTTTGGTAATTCTCCAATAAATTCCTTTTTTAATAAATCATCGAAATTTTGATCTGGTAATCCTCTAAAGACTAAAATTTTAAATAAAACAGATGATTCAAACTTAGATGTTACTGGAACAAATCCTAATAAACATTCACACATTGTTATACCAACAGACCATATATCAACAGAGTAATTATAAACAGTACTGTTACATAATATTTCAGGTGGTCTATATTGTAAAGTGATAATATTACAATCTTTTGTTTCTGCTTTTAAGAAATGATCATATACACCTAACCCAAAATCAGCAATTTTAACTATCCATTCTTTAGAATCATTTAAACCATCTGATAAATACTGAATATTTTTGATAAGAGTATTGGCGGGTTTGATGTCTCTATGTATTATAAATTTTTTATGAAAATGATTTATTCCTTGTAACATTTGATATATTATCACTTTTGTTTGCATTTCTGTTAAAGATGGCATTTCTGGATAAAATGAACGGTTTTCAATTTTTTTTAAAGGCAAATATACATATTTCACATAATTATGTATATGATCATAACACATATCTATTCTTTCACTAGGTAAATATTGAGCTGTACATTGCTTAATGTGTTGAATAAATAACGAATGCTTCTTTTTTGCTTTATTTAAAATATCATTTAAACTACAATCACACTTTTCTATTACTAGAAACAAATCCCAGTTTTCAATATAATCATTATTTTTACTTTCTATTTTTTTTAATTTTTTGGAATGTTTTCTAAATTTTAATTTATCTAAACTTTTATTTTTTGTTTTATTTGTATCATTTCTATTTAAGCAATTTTTACATACCGATGTTTTCATTTTTTTTCTTAGATGATTAGAAGAAATATCATTGCTTCTCTCCTTTTTTATATCTTTTTTGCATGTTGTAGAAGAATAACTATGATTATTACTGTTATTAATATCATTATTATAACTTCTTAAACTTTTAATATTTCTATTCACAGTGTTAAATTTTGTATCTTTTAAATTATCTTTATCTATATTATAAAGAACTAAATCTTTTTCTAAATCTTCAATAGTTATATAATTTTTTGCAATCAAATTTTTATATTTATTATTTCTTTCTATTGTATCAAGAGATGGAGAGTACTGATTTCTTTCTACTTTTCTGTGTCTCTGAAAACTGAAATCATATTCTGCCGATACATTTTCATTTCTTGCTTTTTGATTTCTATGGCATTTCACTTTTCCTTTTCTGTAGGTATGAACTCTAAAACTGTCTAATAGACAAACCACATTAGGATGAAATAAAATTCTCATAATATTAAATTCATTTATTGCAAATTCTTCTGAACCAAATTTATACTTGAAATTAGGCCAAAAATATCTAAGAACTTTAATGGCGAAATTTAAATAAGAATCATCTAATGATTCAGCATTAAATACTTTTCCATATACTCCTTCTCCTAATTTTTTAACAATTTTATATTTTTTCATAAAATCTCTTGGAAATAAATTTAATAGTTTTTCTATTTTTACATCATAATTTTTATGATTAAAAGAAATATGAGTAAATATTTTTTCATTTTCTATCATTTCTCTTTCATATAAAGATTGTTTATCGTATAAAAAACCATCTATTAAATCTAAACTAAAATTTTTTAGTTTTTCATCTGTAATATAATCTTTTATAAGAAATTCTTCTTCAATAATATCATTATTTTCATTAAAAAGGTCATCGATAGAATAATTTTCATTAGATCGAAATGAAATTAACTCTTTTAATTTTTCCACTTCTCTGTTTTCTAATTTTAAAGATGAGTTTGAATATTTACCAAAAAACTCTTTTTTACTAATAAACCAGAAATTTTTTATATAATTTTTCATTATATTTTTTGTATTAGAATCATTGTTTATAATAATTTTTTCTCTTTTATTAATTAGTAAATCTTGATGATTTAAAAGTATGTTTGATGCTTTATCACTTTCTTTGTTTTCTAGTTTTGTTGCATCTTCAAATTTATTTTTTTTCATCAAAATATTATATAAAGATATCTTTGGTTTTTTAAACAATTTTTCTCCTTCAAAATGATCATTTTTTATGGGAAAAAAGGAATTTGATTTCAACTTAAAAAAATCATCTTTTATTTTAGCATTTTCAATTTTTTTTTTATTAATAAAAACATTAAAATTTGCATCTTCTTCATACATATTACAAATATTATTAATTATGTTATTATTTATATTTTTTTTAAATTTGTAAGAACAAAAATTTTCAAAATTAATTAAATTCTTGGAGAACAATTCTTCATTATACTTAGTATTCTTTAAAATATTTCTATTATGAATAGAACTAATAAGTAAATCTTTATTTCCTTCACTTTTATTATTAAATGGTAGATTAATGGAATCTAGATACTCTTTGTTTCTTTCTTTATATTTATAAATATAATTATCTTCATTTTTGCATTCATTTTTTTCTATTAAATCCTTCTCAATACTCATATTATTCGTGTTATTTTTATTACCATTATTAAGATTATTATTATTAACAATATTATTATCATCATTAACATTTATATTATTTTTATTATTATTCATAATGTTATGATTAACATTATCATCCTTACATGTGTAAATAGAATTTCTACTTAATAAAATAGATGCTTTTGAATTATTCATATCAAATATTTCATTAAGTCCTTTGGATTCTTTAAAAGACTTATTGCTAATCTCTAAAATATTACTATTTTGCAATTTTTTTTCATTTAATAGAATTGCATTATCTATTATATATTCATTATCATTAATATATATATCATTTTTATTTTCAACATTAGTTTCGCTGTTTGATATATCATTTGATTTATAAATGTTCATATTAAAATTCTGTAAATGAATTTTATCTAATTTTGATTTTTTATAATTCATTAAATTGCATTCTATATTGTTTTTCAAACTTAGATAATTATTTTGATTTAATAAACTTTTATGATCATCGATATTATTATTAGAATTAGGATTATTATAATTATCTGTTATTAAATTATCATAATTATTAGTATCAATATTATTATTTTGAAAATAGTTCATAATATCATAATTTGAACTGTTCAAATTAACATTTTTTTTATTTACCAAAAAATTTACAGAATCTTCTGGAATCATAATTTTTCTTCCCTTTATTGCGACTGCTCTATTTAAATTGGACATCCTTTTTTCTTTATCTAAATCTTTAAAAAGTGTTTCTTTTTTAAGGTTTTCTTTGTTTCTTGTGTTAATTAAGTAGGTTGATTCTAACTTTTCTTTTGCATTCTTTGAAATTTTATCATTTTTGACTTTTTTTAAATTTTTTTTAATAACCTCTTCATTTTTCAATTCATTAACAAAAACACTTTTTTTTTTATTCATGTTTACTTTTCTTTTATTTAAGTTTTTCTTTTCACCATTACAACTTTTTTCAATTTTTAAAACATTATTTTTAATTCGCTTTGAAGTTACTTTATCCATCTATATTTTAATGATAAAAAAAAATATGTCAAGAAAAATGCAAAAAAGAAAAATATATAAAAAAAAAAAAAAAAAAAAAAAAATTTTTAATAAGAATAAAAGCCAAGAGGAATAAAGAGAAAAAAATTTTTAAAAAGGCAAAAAAATGTAATAGACAGAAAATGTACTTTTTTTTTTTTTCATGAGCAAATATATTTTTATTTTTATAGTTGTAAATTATTAAACATATTATCTATTATTATTTATATAAATTTTTTTTTTTTTTTTTTTTTTTTTTTTTTTTTTTTTTGTTTGTATAAGTAGAAACTATCTTATTATATTCCTTTTTTTATTTTTAATCAATAAACAACTATTAAACATTGTGTATTTTTTTTTTTTTTTTTTTTTTTTTTGAAGGAATTGTTTCTCTTAATAGTGAACTATTTTTATTATATTGTTAATTTTATAACTTTTTATATATTAATAATTCATTACATCATTTTATTTAATGTATTTTTATATACATATATATATGCATAGATTAATGTTTCCAAGAATATGTATTTTCTATTTTACATATATTTTATATTTTTTTTTTTTTTTTTTTTATATGCACATACATACAATATACATAAATATATGCATATGTACATGTATTTCTAATATACTTTATACTATGAATTTTTTTTTTTTTCTGTTTAATACATAATGCAATTATTTGCTTTAGTTTTTCTTATTTTTATAAAATTGTTTCATTAAACAAAATTTTATATGCCACTATTTCTCTTTCGTCTCTCTCTTTAAAAATTTAAAAAAAATTGATGCAACAAAATAATGTATCGTTTCACATATGAATGCCAATAAAAAAAATATTTAAAAAGAAAAGCTAAAAGTAAGAAAAAAAATTACAAATGAAAAAAATAATTAAAAAATAATAAAATATATTTTGTATATTTATAATTTCCTATTATATATTTACAAATATATATGTATATATATATATATGTATATATATTAAATATATATATATATATATATTTTATTAAACTTTTTTTTATTGGTTCAATTGTTTTATTTTTCTTTTTAAATAAGTAAAAAAAAAAAAAAAAATTAAAAAATATTGGTGCTTTTTTTTATAAAAACATTCTATTATTAACTATTGTGCAATTTAAAGTATTTGATTATAAGCAACACTTAAATAGCTTTATAGTATATAATTAAACAAAAATATAAATTAGGTGCATATATATATAAGTTTAAATACATAAATGAAGTTATTTTTTATGCATTATACTTGAATTTAATTAATTTCTTAACTCTTTAAATGAAGCACAAATTTTTATTATGCTCATTTCTATTTTTATTTTTTTACTTTCTAATAGATGTTAAGGATAAGAAAGATTAACTAAATAACAATGCAAAATTAAGTTAAAATATTTTAGATATATATCAAATTTGTTTCTTAAACATAATTCATTATAATTTAATATATATATATATAATGTATGTATTTGTGTATTCATATATTTATGTATATAAGTATATATTTGTGTATGCATATATTTGTTTATGTATATATTTAAGTATATATTTGTATATGTATATATATATATATATATACATAAATATTTTTGTATTCGTTAATATATCAGTATGCATATATGAGCTAATAATTACATTGTAAATTACCAAATAACATATCTTAAATTGACGAATAAACATATATTTTTATATTTATATATATACGAATTACATATTCTTCTCTAAAGAAAATAGAAAACAAAAAAAAAATGTAAATTTAAATTTACCTAAAAAATGTTATTACATATGCAGTTTCAATATCATTGTATAAATATATATATATATATATATATATAAATTGATATTTATGAAAAAAATTTATATATGAATAATAATATATAAAATTTTACAAAAAATATATTTTTTTATAAAATACTTCACAAAATGATCATGATACATGTGATTTTATATATAGCATTTAATTTTTTTTTTAATTTGCTTGATGTAAAATATGTAGTTGAAATAAATAATTCATTGTGCATGCAACGCTTCAAAAGATACATGTATTTATGTATGCATATATATATATATATATATATAAATATATATATTTATATATAAAAAAAAATATATATATATATATATATATTTATATATAAATATTTTTATTTATATATATATATATTTACATATGCTTTTAAAAAACATACCTATTTTATATTAATAACCAAATGAATATATATATATATATATATATATATATATATATATATATATATATATATTTATTAATATAAAGGTATATTAAAAGAATATATGAAAAATTAAAAAGAGATAATACGATTAGAAGTATTCATCATTTAATTTACAAGTTGATATTCTTTTCTTTTCCCTTTTTTTTTTTATTTTAAATAACATTTTTAACTCATTTTTGAAATAAAGTTTTATGATTAAAATTTTTGAAAAGTATAAAAATGTTGGTTTTATTTAAAAATAAAATGAATAATTAAAACATTTCTTTTTCAAAATGACAAAATAAGCATAGAAAAATTCTTCATTAATGTAAAATGTCTTTTTATATTATCATTCAAATTAACATCCTATGTACTATTTAATATACTTCTTTTCTGTTTTTTCTGTGAAAAAGTCCAATTGAAATTTAATACATAATTTTCTTTCTAAATGAAATAACAATTTTTGCTATTGAAGGATTTTTTATCATTAATTTAATATTCTTGTAAAAATTACTTTTTTTATATAATGTAATTAAAATCTATATTATATTAATGTTGAACTTTTTTAATTTTTTTATTTCGTTTTTTTAATTTAAATATTTTAAAAATTTCCTTAGAATGAAAGAAAAAAATATATATGATTCATATGAAGTTTTTAGTAACTCTAAATTGTTAAATATATTTAATAACTTCTTTTAATAATGTATCTTTGAAAATATAATTGAAACATGTACAAAAATAAGTGATTATTTCACAATTAAAATTAAAATTAAAATTATTATGGTTTTAAAATATATATGTAGTTAATTTTTGTTTTATTTTTATTTTGAATAAGAAACTTTTGAAAGTTGAAATACAGTCATATGCAAAATCTTAGTATTATGCATTTAATAATTACATTCATTTCAGGTTTAACATGTAAAATAAATATAATGTATTTAACATAAATAGAGAATGTTATTTATATATAAAAGTATTTTTCATATATACACACTGAGGTTGTAACTATTGGAATAGAAAAGAGTATTTAAGAAATATTCTTTTTTATGCTATTGAAATGATGAAAATTTGTTTATCTTTTGTTTGTTATAACTGTATTCTTTTTATATAGTTAATTTTAAATATACTACTAAATAATTTATTATTATATCTAAATAAATTTTTTCTTTTATTAATGATAAATATGGTTCAATAAGTTTTTATTAACAAAAAAAAAAAAAAGTAAAAAAAATGAAAAAAATTTATTTCTTTTTTTCTTTTCTCATTAAAAAGATAAGATTACATGAATAATAAGGAAAATAAAAATGTTATGGGTACTTATTTTTATAGTTTATATATAATAATATTATATGTTATTTAATCAATATAAAAATCATTAAAATTCATTTTTTAATAGGATTAAAAAAATAATTATAGTTTATTTTTCCTTTAAATTATGTACATAATTTATATTTAAAAAAATGAATTATAGTTTATTATTTATATAATGTAAGATATAAGCTTTTTTATAATGTTTTTTTTTTTTTTTTTTTTTGTTAATTCCTCGTTAATTTTATATAAAAAAAAAGTACATATAGATGTTATTTTTAATTTAAAATATATTATATAAAAATAAAATTAAATGAAAAATGTTTTCTTATTTATATTTCAAATTTAAAATACAGAAAATAAATAATATTTCTTTTTAAATTAAGACGTTATTATTTATTAAAATTTTAATATAAAAAAAAACTTTTTATATATTAAATTTTTAAAAATATTGAAATATTTCGATATATATATACATATATTTTTAATTATATAAAAAGAACAGTTTTTTGTTATTTTACTAAACAATATTCCATTTCATTTCATTTATTTTATTTCCATATTTTTTTTTTTTTTTTTGTTTTAGATTTTTCTGAAAAAGTTACTAAAAAAATTAAAAAACTCTTATGAAAATTATTTAAAAGAATTAAACTACAACTTTAAAAATTTTAATCTCCTATTTTATTAACTATATTGAGGGGAACTTAAAAATGTAAAAATTAAATTCTTATTTTTTTTTAAATTATTTTATTATATTCTTTTGTCTTGTAGAAGAATACTTAAAATTAAAAATATTTCAACTACTTCAGATAGTAATTTTATGTTCTTTCATTTATACGTGTAAAACATATTAAATAATAAAATATAAAATTTTTTTTTTTTTAATTAAATATTTTTGTTGATGTTTTAGTAGAAGTTAAGGTAAAAATGAAATATATAAATTTTATTATATTCCAATTTGTTTTTCCTTTTTTTTATAATTTAGGGACTTTTTAGCAAATATTATTCTATTGCTTAAAATATTAAGTGCATTGATATTTTTATTTTTTTATTTTATTTTTTTTTTTTTTTTGCATGCATTATAACTTTAGAAAAAAACTAGAAATTAAACAATTTTCTTTTCTAAATATAAAACTTATAATTTTTACACTGTGAATTTAAAAGTTTTATAAAATACAAAAAAAAAAAAAAAAGAAAATTACAAATTTAGTAAATTTACATAAGTAAAATAATTTTCTTTTTAAAGTATTTAGTTTTAATTTAGTATACTATTTTTCTTTTTAATTCTCAAAATGTATTTTTTAAACTAGATTTTATATTGTTTTTTTTTATAAATGTTAATAAATTTTGAATATATTTGTTATTTTTATGCACTATTAAGTTTCAATGGTGAATTTTTATTTTTAAAAAATAATAAAGGGAATTGTATTTTCTCTTTTTTTATAAAATTTATATATTAGACATTTTTTATGAATTAAATTTCATTGTATAGAATAAAATATTTTTTGATAAAAGTTAATAATTAAAAATAAAATTAAAATTAAATGAAATAGGAACATAATACATAATGCTATGCAAATATAATGAAAAAAATATATATATATATATATATATATTATTCATAATTCTAATTATTCTACAAAAATGCAATATTAATAAAGTAACAGAACAACATGTGATTATGATAAATCAAAGATAGCAATTTATATGTTGTTATGATATGGTAATAATTATAATTATATGAAAATTATAAGAAAAGTTATATATAGCTATTATAAAAAAAAAAAAAAAAAGTTAAAATATGAGGTATGAAAACTAAAAAAGTTAATAATCATTAAAAATACACAAATTTCATTTATATTATTATAATTATCTTTAATTTTTATTATAACTGTTATGTATTTATTCATCAAAATTCATTTCACTTAAATTTTCTTTGTCATTCATATTTTCTTGATTGTTCATGTTATTTTTTTCAATTGTGTTTTCTATATTTCCTTTTTCATTTTCAAAAAGTACTTCATTTTCTTCATTTGATGACACAATGCTAATAGCATCTGAATTTTCTTCATTTTTATTAAATGGTTTATTTTCTTTTTTCATTTTTTCATTTGAGGATGTAAAAAAATTAAAATTATTAGTAATATTATTTTTATTAGAATTGCTATACTTCGAAATATCATTATTCACATTTATATTATATTTATCTAAATTTATAGTATCATTACTATTTAAGTTAAAAATTTTTTTTGTATTCCCATCTAAATTAGATATTTTTTTATTACTATAAATTATATTCTCTTCTTCGTAATAATTTTCTTTTATCTCATATTCTTCATCTTCATTATCTTCACTATCTTTTTCTTCATCTAATTCTTTACTATGTTCTTCATTTTCATATTCTTCATTATCATATTCTTCATGTTCATAACATTCATCATCATTTTCACCTATTTCTTTTGTATTATCTTCTTCATAATCTTCTTCTTCAATATCTTCTTCAATTTCTCCTTCTTTCGAATTATCTTCCCCATATTCCTCCTCAATTTCTTCTTCATTGTCTTCTTCATTTTCATCTTTTTCAATTTCTATTTCTTTAATATTATCTTCTTCATAATCTTCTTCTTCTTCTTCTGTTCTTTCATTTACTTCTTCAACCTCTTCTTCATCTTCTTCCTCATCATCTGATATTTTTGAATAGTCATCTTTTTCACATTCTTCATCTGATGAAATAATATAACAACTTTTACTGCTCTCATTTTCATTATTTTCACTTTCACATACATCATAATTTTCCATTTTGTCTTGATTTTTCTTAACATTTTTGTTAATTCTATCTTCGTAATAATTGATATAATTATTACTTCGTTTTGTATTATTTAGAATTTCTTGTTCTTCATAAGTCACAACTTTTTTATTATAATTTAAGTTATTAAAATGATTCTTATAGGGATGATTTTTTTCTTCATTATGATTTTCATTAATTTCCTTATTTTTATTTTCATATTCATTTTCACTTTCTTCATTATCAATATAAATGTCATGAATTTTTTTTACTTTTTTTGAAGGGCTCATTATTGGTGAATAAATATCTACTTTTACCAGTTCTGAGTCTGAATAATATTTTCTTTTTTTTTCTATTTTGTTATTTTCTTCATAAACTTTTTTATATACATCATAATTATACTCAGACGCATGAGAACTATATGAATTAATGTTAGTATTACTATTATTTTGCATAAAGTCTATATAATTGAAATTTTCATATATATCATTTTTAATTTTTTTACTATTTTCTTCCTCTTTGTTTTGATTGTGTGAATTTTCTTCTGCATTGTTTTCACAATTTTCATTATCATTTGCATATTTTTCTTTGTTTTTATTTAAATTTTCTAAAATTATATTATTATTTTTTTCATTTTCTTTTATAATATGATTATAATTAGAATCTTTCATCTGTTTTTCATTGGAATATTCAACATTATAACTATTGTTTTTTTCAAGTACATCTGGAGTAACATTTTCATTTAAATATTTATTAATTTTCATATCATTATTTTCTTCTAGCAGTTCTTCATTTTTATAATCATCACTTTGTTTTACCGCATAATAATTCGACTTTTCACATAACTTGTTGTTATCTGCAATTATTATTTCGTTATTCTTCTCTATTAAATTATCAGTGTTATTAATAATATTTTTATCATTATCTACAATATTATTATCGCTAATTATTTTTAAATTATCTTCTTTGTTCATTACATTATCATCGTTATTCATTAAATTCATAGTACCATTTACTATATTGTCATTGATACTTGAATCTTTATCATTATTTTGTGATTTCTTTTGAGTTGATAAATCATCCCCCTGAAAATTCATTAGTATATTCTCTTCATATCTCTGCAAAGTTTCATTATTTGTTTTACATTCTAAATGGTTGGTGGTAAAACAATCTTTCAATTCTTCATTATTATCATCTATGTTATTTTCTAAATTATATTTTTCATCATAAAGTTCTTTATTTTCGTTAGTATTTTTTTCTTTTTTGTCATCTGTATTAATTTCTTCATTTAATGCATTATCTCCATTAGAATACTCTTTGTTTTCTATAATAAATATACTATCTTCTTTTAAGATGTTATTTTTTTTATTAGAAATATTATTTTCTTCATTTAAGATGTTATTTTTTTTGTTAGAAATATTATTTTCTTCATTTAAAATGTTATTTTTTTTATTAGAAATATTATTTTCTTCTTTATTTATTTTATCTTCATTTATAAAGACATTATCTTCTTCATTTAAGATGTTATTTTTTTTATTAGAAATATTATTTTCTTCATTTAAGATGTTATTTTTTTTGTTAGAAATATTATCTTCTTCATTTAAGATGTTATTTTTTTTGTTAGAAATATTATCTTCTTCATTTAAGATGTTATTTTTTTTGTTAGAAATATTATCTTCTTCATTTAAGATGTTATTTTTTTTATTAACATCATTTTTTTTATAAATTTCATAGGAATCTATTTGTTCATTCTCTTTATTTTCATTTTTACATATTTGGATATCATCCAGATTATTAAAATTATTTTGTTCTTTATCATGAATAAATTTGTCTTCATTTAATAGAGTTTGAATAAATTCATTTTCATTAGTTAAATATATTTTTTTTTTCTTACTATCACATTCTTCATTATTAGAAATTTTATTAACAGACTCATAATCTATGTTATATATATTACAATCCAAAGAAGAAATATTAATTTCTTCATTTACTTCAGTTTTATTAAATATATCGGGTTCTCCTTTTTCAATTTTTAAATTATAATTTTCAGCAAATAATTTAATATTTTGTAAACATTCTTCATTGAACTCATTATTAATGTTTAAATTTTTTTTTTTCAATTCTTCTACAACAGAATCATACATATAATAATTAAATGATTTTCTCAAATTACTTAACTGATTTAAAATAGATGCATCTATTTTCTTTTTTGAACTAATATTTTTAAATATCTCACATAATATAGTACTTTGTTCAATTAAATGAACTATAAAACTCTTATATTTATATATGTTTTTTAAATTTTTTTCATTAATATCTTCATTTTTTTTTAAGTTATCCTTTAAATTTTTTATAAAACTTTCATTATTTTGAATATTGTTTTTTAATTTTAGTATCTCTTCTAAATTATTTACTTTGATTAATTCATTTTTATTATTTTCATCTTTTAAATTATCAATAAATTTATTTAGGCTTTCTATACTTTGTTCTAAACAACTAACCTGATTTTTTAAATTTTGAATTTCTTTTAAATTTCTATTTATAATATATAAATAACAAGAGCTTAATTTAAATAGTTTTAATATATTACATTTAATGATTATAATATTATCACTATCTTTATTTAAAGATAAACGTTTTAATTTACTAACTTCTTCCTTCATGTTTATTTCACTACTTTCATCAATTGGTACATTTTTTTGCACACCTAAAATGTTATCAGAAGAATAATCCTTAGAATTTTCAGAAAATGTAAATGTATTTGTTTTACACCAATAATAATTCATTAAATCATCTAGTCTGTTATTATATTTATTTTTTAATTGTTCAATTATCTCATCTTTTTCTTTTATGTGATTATTCATATTTACTTTATGTTTTTCCATTATCATAATTGATTCATTTAATTTGTTACAACTTCTCGATAATTTTAATATTTCATCATTCAATTTATTTATTTCATCATTTTTCTGTTTTATTTCTTCTTTAAATTTATCTAAAAGTTCATTTTTATTTTCAAGTTCTGCAGTTAAATCAATATTTTCATTGATATATTTGTATATCTCTAATGAAATATGTTCATTATTTCTATTTTCCATATGATTATTATTATGGTTATTTTCATTAGTTAAATTTATTTTACTTTTCATATCTGCATTTTCATTAGTTAATTTTTTTAATTGAAAATTTAAATTAATTATTTCTTTATCTTTTTCATTTAATTTATTTAAATATTCTGAAAGTTGTTCTTGTAATTTTTCTCTTTCAATTATGTTTAAGTCGTTATTTTTGGTAGAATTAAAAAATTGATTATCTCTTTTCATTTCTTCAATTTGTTTCTCATATTCTTCTTTATTTAATAATAATATTCTATTTTCTTCAGTGAGTATATCTAAATTAGTTTTCAATTTATTAAAGTTAATTAAATGATTTTTAGTGTTATCTTCCAATTGCTCTACAATTTTATTTTTTTCATTTTGATTTTTTAATAATTTAGATTCTAACATTTCTATTTTCATTATATATTTTTCTTCATTTAAATTAGCTTTTTCGAATTCATTAAATAATTTTTGCAATTCTAACCTAGAGCTTTCTAAATTAGCTTTTAGGCTATTGATAAATTCATCATTTTTACCAATCATGTTTTTATCCGTTATATTAGATTGCAATTCTATAATATATTTTTGTTGTTGTATAAACTTTTCTTTTTCTATTTTTAACTTTTCTTTTAATTCTATATTCTCACATTTTATTTTTTCATTTAAAGTTGCATTTTCTTGTAACTCTGATTCTAAATCTTTATTTATATGAACTAGCTGATCTAATCTATTTTTTAATAAATCATTATCACTAAAATTAATTTGTTTTTGAAACATTTCATTTAAATATGCATTATCCTTTTTTACATTACTTAATTTTTCATTTATTAATCTCATTTCTTCCTTGTGTTTACTAATTAGAATGTCAAGTTCATTGGATAATTTTTTGTTTTTATCTAATTCTGTATTATGTTTTTCTAATATATCATTTAATTCTTTCTGAAGATTTGTTTTATCATTTTTTAATAAACTTATATATTCTTCTTCTTTTTTTCTTAATGAAGTTTCATCATTTTTTACTTTTTCAAAATTTTTAATTTTATTTAACAATGTTTCTTTATCATATTTCAAAACTTTTATTTCATAAGTTTTTTCTTTTAAATTATCATTTAATTTTTCTATTTCCTTATTTAAAGCCGATTTAATTTCATTTAAATCTTTTTCATATTTATCTTTTTCTGTTGTCAATAAGTTATTTATATATTTTAATTTTTCTTCGTTAGATTGATTTATTAACAAAAATTCTTTATGTTTTTCAAGTTGCTCATTGCAAATCTTTTTTAATCTACTTATCTCTTCTTTACTATCTACACTAAAACATTTCCATGTATCAATAGAAGTTATCAATATTTCTTTTTCTCCTCTTAATTTATAATTTTCTCTTTCTAAATCAGCTATAGTTTCTTGTAATTTTCTTTCCCTCAAATCAAATTCTAAATCCTTTTCTGAATCATCTTCATTCAATGTATAACTGTTATTTGAATAAGGATTAAAACATTTAGAAATATTTTTCACATCCTTCATGGAAAAAGAACAGCTATTTCTGAATACATTGATTTGTTTAATTCTTTCATTTAATTCACCTTTTATTAAGTTGTTTTTATTTTCCAGTTCTTTTATTTTTAATAATAAATTATTGTTTTCAATTTTTAAATTATTTATATTAAAAATATTTTTTTTATTATTTTCTTTTTCTTCTGACCACATAGTATTCAAATTATTTAGGCGTATATCGTAATCATATTTCAATTTTTCATTATTATTTAATATAGATTCTAATTTTTCTTTTAAGTAATTATTGCTTTCTTTTGTTTCTTGTAATAATGATTGTAAATAATCCTTTTCCTTTTCGTAATTTTTTATAATTTCACTATTTTGTTCATTTAACTTAATGTTTCTTTGTTCTTTTTGAGATATTTCTTCTTCTAAATTACATTTTTCTTTCTTTAGATTCTCAAATTCTTCAATGATGAAAATGTATTTATTTTTATATTGATGGAACTCATTTTGTAAAAGTATATATTTTTCATTAAAATTATTAATTTTTTCTTCATTTTTTACAATAATTTTTTCTAAATTTTCTTTTTCCTTTTTTATTAACTCAACTTCATATTCTAACTTTTTCTGAGTTTTATATAATTCTATTTCACTTTTATTTAATTCTGTTATTTTCTTATTACTATCGATAATCATATTTTCATAAGTTTTAGATAATCTTAGTATTTTATTAAATCTTCTTAATAATAAATCAAATGATAACTCAACATTACTGAAATTTAAATTGAATAAATTAAAATACCTCTCGTAAATAGTTTTATATTCATTCTCAATATTATACAAATTAAAACTTATAATTGTATTAAATATATTATTTATGTTAACAAAATGATCATGGTAAAATTGCTTATATTTATCTAATATGTTTTTATCTTCTATATAATGAAAAAGATCTTCATCATTGTAATTCTTTTTATTTCTTTCTAGTTCTTTAATTATTATTTCTGTTTTGTTTTCTTCATTACCATTTAATTTTTCTAAAATGTAAGTAAATTCTTTTTCGAGTAAAACTTCTACTTTGAATAAATTATTATATGCAGATATTCTATTAAATATATCTATTGTTATCATATAATCATCTATAAAATTTAACAAATCACTTTTTTTAAAATAATCTATCTGTTTTAATTCCATATTCAAGATAGCCTTTCCTAAGTTCTCAAGTATACAACGAAAAGGATTTAAATTATTAATTGAATGAGGTATATTATCATTTATGTTTTCATTATTGTTTTTTTGTAAATTTGATTGTTTACTAATATTTGATGGTGTTCTTCCGTTAAATTCTTCCATTTTACTATTTTTTATATCATAAATATGATCTTTAATAATATTTTCTATTATTTTTTCTAATGATAATTTTTTATTATTATTATTATTATTATTATTGTCTACATGAACTATAGAAGAAATGTTAGGTAGAGAAGAAATCACTTTAATTAAAGTTTCCTTTTCTAATTTTAACTTAAAAATATTTTCTTTAAATTTATGTATAATTATATCTTTTTCTTCTAATTTTTTTTCTATACATTTAACATATTCAATTTTTTCTTGCAGTATATTTTCAATATAATTTTTTTCGTTATACAAGTATTCATGATCACCAAAGTAATGTTTTTTATAAATATTCAATTCATCACTTAGTAATGAGTTTTTAACTTTTGCACAACACTTTTCAAAATTTTCGTTTGATCTTGTTAAAGTTATAATTTTTATTTGTGCTTCATTTAACAGATAATTTAAACTTTTGTATTTTGATTTTTTAATTTTAATATAATCTTCATCATCATTATTATCATATAAAGATTCATTATAATCTTCTTGTGTTTCACTATGAGCTACTTCATATATATATAGCACTGAGAAATGATCAATATCTTCAAATATATTTTTTTCTATATTATAACTATCGCAAATAGCTTTTATTTCATTATTTTTTCTAAGTACAATTATTTTGCTATTATTCTGATGTAAAAATTCATGCATAACAGAAAACATAGAATTATTTTTTTCTATAATTTCTCTAAAATTTTTTTCAAATGTTTTTATTGCATTTTTTAAATTATCAATTTTGATATTTAATTCTTCATTTTTTTTTATAAAATTTTCATTTTTCATTTTTAAATTATCTCTTTCTTTTTCTACAACTAATAATTTTTTTACATTTTCTTCTGATTTTAGTAATGATTTTGATAAAACATCTTTAACTTTATTTAAATTTTCAACAGAATTTTTTTTCACTAATTCTCCATTTTCTATAATTTCTTGGAATTTTGATATTTCTTCTTTTTTTTCTTTTTCTAGCTTATATATTTTTTTTTCATTAAGTAAATGTTTTTCTAATAAATTACGATGTTCACTTAATAATTGATCATTTTTGCATTTTAATTTATCATTTTCATTCTTTAGTTTTTCTATTTCATTATTCTTATCTATTTCTAATTTACATTTCTCATTTTTTAAATTAGTAATTTCTTTATTAAGTTGCGCATTTTTTTCCATAAGAATATTATGTTTATCTTCTAATCTTAATAACTTATATTTTATATCATTATATTCATTTTTATAAAATGAAAAACTACCTAAATTCATATTCTTCTCATTATTTATTTTTTCTTTTTCTTTCTTCAAATTAAAATATTCCCTTTCCATTTCATTATGTTTTAATTGAAGTTTTTTTATCTGATCATTTTTTTCGCTACACTCTTCTTTAGTTCTAATTAGAGTATCCATAACTAAATTATAATCTTTTATCTTTAATTCTAAATTTTTTCTTAACATTGATATTAATACATCTTTATTAGTGTGTTTCTCATCATCAAATAAATTATTTTCTTCAGAAGTTTTAATTTCATTTATGCACAAAGTTTCTATCATGAAATTATTTAAAATATTATCATTTTCATTACTATTTTTCTTATTAGAATCATCACTTAAAGAAATAAAATTGTGGTATTTGTTTTCTTTTATATTATTATTTTCAATATTTTGTATAGTTTGCTTTGATGTGTTATCATTTTTTTGATTACACATGAGACTATTATTATCACTAAAGTTGTTGTTTTCATTTAGTTTTATATTTTCAAAAACCTTTTTCTTACCAAATATATCATTTTTTTTAGAATTAGAATTCATTTTAAAAAAATGAAAAAAAATAAAATATTATTAAATGAAATATTCATACAAAAAAATATACCTTTAAAAATTAAAGCTTAGATTTTTATATATTAATTCCATTATTCCCATTTAAAATAAAAGATATTCTTTGTGAAAAAAAAAAAAAAAAAAAAAATTATATATTAATTTTTATATTTTATAATAATATAATTATTTTGTTCACTTAAATGTAACCACTTAAATTAAAAAAGAAATTTTTTTTTTTTTTTTTTTAATTTCTACTGTTTTTTTAATTTATTAAAAACGGTTAATTAAAAAAAAAAAAAAAAAAAAAAATAGAAGCACAAACAAAAGTATAATATATTTAAAAAAATTATTTTATTTACATATAATTTATATAAATATAAAATATATATAACTTCTTTTAAAATTACATTTTAACAGTTTTTAAATTATTTATATTTGAAATTTTCTTTTTAATTTTTTTTTTTTTTTTTTTTTTTTTTTACATGTGATTAAAAATATTTTGATTTTTTATTTATTTGTTTTTATCGAAACAAAATTTTTTAAAGAATTTTTTTTTTTTTTTTTTTTAAATTTTAAATATGTTAAAAGAAAAAAGATTTTATTACTGCAAATAAAATTTTAGTGAAAAAAAAAAAAAATATTATATATATATATATGAATATATGTGAAGGCAAAATTTTATGGATAATAATAATAGTATAAATAATTTAAAAAAAAAGAAAATAAGAATTATAAATATATATTTATATATATATATATATATTTAATAATGTGCATTTGTATATAAGGTAAACAAATAAAACAATTTTCCTATAATTTTTTTTTTTCCTTTTACAATTATTATATTTTAAATAACATTTAATTTTTGCTTAATTCTATAAGGTTTTTTAACTTTTTTTTTTTTTTTTTTGCATTTTTAATATATTTAAAAATTAATATTGTATTCTAAATTTTTCTTATATTACTTTAAAAATTGTAAGAAGGCTAAGAAAAAAATATAGTTCTTACTTTTATTTTATGCATGTTAAAAATATTTATATTTGAAACAATTTTACTGTTTTTTCAAAAACTTTTGAACTTTTGTAACATAATTTTAAGTAAATTTTTAAAAAAAAAAATTTTTATATATTTAACTGAAAAATATGAGTTTCTATAATTTTTTTTTCTTTTTAATCCATATTTAATAAAAAGTGGCATTTTTGTAAATTTAATGTTTTTTTTATTCTTCAATTAAGTCCTTGAGATTTTTTTTCTTTTTTTTAGTTTATCCTTTCATTAGCTATATTATAAATTTTAGAAAAAAAATCTAATAATTAAATATTTATATTTTATACTTCTCATAAGACAATAAGTTTAAATGAATTTAAAAAATGTATTATAATAAATTTTAAAAAAAATGTATTATAATAAATTTAAAAAAAAATGAATTATTAGAAAGGAAAGGTTGCAATGTAATATGTTGTGAATGTTGTTGGACGGTTATTTATTTTTACTTTAATTTTTTTTTTTTTTTTTAATTTTGTTTAATATAAATAAGTACAAAATTATGTACCTAAGATATATATATATATATATATATATTAATCATTATATAAAAATGAAAAATATTTAAAATTTTTATTAAAAAAAAAAATAATATAATTGTAAATCACTCACAACGTTATTATGTTAGAATAACAAATATATAAAATAAAATTTATCTTTGAATATAACCACAGAAAAAAAAAAATATGTGATTATATAAAAATCATAAATAAAAAAGTATAAAAATAATTTCTTTTATTCTATAGAGAAATATGTGATAAATATTTTCTAACAAATGTGTAGGTATTTCATATTTATTCGTATATATATATATATATTAATATATCAATTTTATTTTTTATTTTTTTAGCTTACTAAAATTATTAACATTTTGCATTTTTGTCTAATTAAGATTCATAATATAGAATAAATTATATTTATCTTATCAACCATTAAATATGGATATAAGTTTTTTTAAAATAAAATGTCTTCATTTTTGTTTTTATTTTCTTTTTATATAAAAAATCAATAAAATTAATGATATAGTTAAATTAAATAAATATTCTTAAAAATGTTATCATTAAAAATATATATATATTTCAATTATTTAAATCAATGTTTAAACGTGAAAAAAAAGAGATAAAAGAAAACTAATTATACTATAAAAAAAAAAAAAAAAAAATGTAAACAAATAAGACACAACAAAAGAAAAAAGGAAATATATTTTTTTAAACAAAGTTGCATACAAAAAAAAAAAAAAAAAAAAAAAAAAAAANNNNAAAAAAAAAAAAAAAAAAAAAAAAAAAAAAAAAAAAAAAAAAAAAAAAAAAAAAAGCATAAATATAATTCTTATACAAAAACAGAAGATAACAAAAGTTTGAAATATTTAAAAATTTAAAACATATATATGTATCCACATGCATAATACTTATTTGCATTTACAAATTTATATTGAAAAAGAATATCTTTCATTTTAAATTTTCTTCTATATATTATATGAACTGAAAATAAAAGGATCAAATAGATAATTTCTGACATCGAAATTTTCATCCATTGAATAGGAGGAATTCTGCCTCTGAAAAAATACTGAAGCTAAATAATTAACACAATATGTTTCATAAATTTGTATATTATTTATAATTAATATTTCTGAAAAAATATCACAATTTTTAAATTTATTCATAATTTTATGAATACGTTTTTGCCTTATATCTTGAATTAATCCTAATATATAAAAAAAGAAAGATAAAAATAAAGTAAATTTAAAATTTTTTTTATAGAGTAATATTATATCTTTTACAAATTAATATATATATATATATAAATATATATGGATTAGTTTAATGATAATTATTTTTTTTTATTTTTTAAATATTATTCAAAATCATAAAGATATGCATAAAAAAAAAGACAAATTTTTACTATCTAATGCATATGTATATGTAAAAATATATAATAATTTGAATAATGAAAAATAAATAAGAACATATATAATTATGAATAAATAAAGATAATAAAATAAATAAATATATTCATACATTCATGTGTATATATATATATATGCTTATAAAAATATTTAAGATATAAGTTATGAATATAAAAATATAAAAGAAATATTTATTAAAGGAAAAATTAATTTTTTTTTTTTTTTTTTTTTTTTTATTACCTGCAACTTTTAAAATGTATTTATAAGGAGTTTTTTGACCAATAGTTTCAATAGGAGTAGAATTTTTAAAAGCATTATTTTCTAAAAACATAGAAGATATTTCAAAAAAAAAAGGGCTTGGCAAATCAGTAAGTTCATTCATATCTTCAAATTCTTTTTTATAAATATTTTTTAAGTTATCAATATAAAACCAAAATGGAAATTCAACAGTAGCTAACCCTTCTTCACTTAATTCTTTTGCTATATATAAGGGATACCATTGTCTTTGACCTGATTTCATTTTTTGAAAATCAAATCCTTCAACTTCTGTCAAATCAAAATATGGGATATCTGCTAAAGCTTTAACGACAATTAATTCGTCTAATGCTTTTTGCCATATAATATGATTAATAGATTCTTCAAATAAATAATATATAGATATCTTATTTAATTCTAAAAAATGAGGATTAAATTTCATAGGAAGATATTCTATATATTCATTAGATGTAACCAAATTTTTATTTATAAATGATGGTGAAGAAATAGCTTGATCGTTTATATGTAATGTTTGATTAATTGTTTCAATATTATCCTGTTGAAGCTCACTATCTTGTAGATATGTGTATATATTAATTAGATTATCATAAACATAATTTTTTTTAAACTGTTTTCCTCGTACAAATATAATATTGCTTTTAAAGCAATCATAAGCATTTGACAATTGAGGAAGTTTATTTTTTATATTTTTAAAACTATTATACAAAGTAGCTATTTTTTCATAAACACTTGATAATATTTTTTTAGTAGAATAATTTTCTTCTGAATTCAGTTCATTAATAGCTGAATCAAGTTTATCTAAAATAGTTTCAAGTAGTATTAGATGCTCATTATTAATTGTAACATTTTTATTTCCAATTAAATATTGATCTCTTATATAAAAAATATTATAAACTCCTTCACACAATTCAATATTTTTTATTGGAAGCTTTGGAAAATCTACTAACACAATATTTGATTCGTGATTATTAATTTCTACTTGAGTATTATCTTGTTTTACATTGTTATTAACATATGCTCTTCTTCTACATTTATCATTCATTAATATATTTCTCTTACTTTTTTTATTTGATGTTTTACATAATTTTGTTTTTTTATTTCTTTTTCTTCTAAAAATTGAAAAAACATCTGACATTTTTATTGAAAAAAAAAAAAAAAAAATTTTTTTTTTTTTTTTTCTCCTTTAATTTTTATTAATTTTTCTTTTTATTTTTTTTTCTCATTTATCAAAGCATATTTCAAAATTTTTTTTTGTGTTATAATCTTTTTCATTAAATATTCATATTCATTCTTTTGTTGTGTATCTATGAGTATTTTCAAATGAAGAAAAAAAATTAAAAAAAAATAGAATAAAAAAAGATATATCTAAAAAGAAAACTCTTTTATGTTTCTCATATATTGAAATTATCATATAGTAAACATTATGAATAAAAATCATGATTATAATCTTTTTTTTTTTTTTTATATATATATATATATATAATTTTTTAATTTTTTCTCTTTTTTTCTTTATTTTTGCATTTTCCCTTTTTTTTTTTTATTTTTACATTTTTCAATTTTTTTCATTTTATTATATATTTTTCACTGTTTTAATATATATTTTTTATATTTTTTTTTTCTAATATTTGCACAAGATACAAAAAAAAAATTGATCCCTGTTAAAACAAATCAGCATAGAAAAAAGTTCAGTTTTAATTTTTTAAAATTTATCATTTTTCTTATAATGTAATTTTAATTACTTTTAATAATATGAAATTTATATTTTATAGTTTATTTTGTTTTCATATTTATTTTAAAAAATAAAATACACCTAATTAATGGGAAAGAAAAAGAAAAAGAAAAAGAAACAAAAAGAAAAAAAGAAAAAAAGAAAAAATTATAAATATTATTTTAAACTACTATATATTTATTATCCATAGTATTTTTTTTTTTTTTTTTTTTTCTAATATTTTTATATAATAAAAGTGTACAATAAAAATTTTATATAAATTAATAATTATTAAAATTATTAGACATAGATATATAATTCCACATAAAGATTTTTTTTTTTTAGTTTATTATTTTTATAAAGAAAAATCAGTAAGGTAAATCATGTCTATAAATAATTATATTTATTTGATTTTATTTTTTCTTAAAAAAACAAGATAGAATTGAAGAAAAAATAAAATAATATTTTTAAAGCATGTAACTATTTTTAATAATATTATTCTAAAAACGATTTTATTTAAAATTTAGTTAAAAACAATTAATAAATCTTATTAATTAAAAATATGTTTAAATCTTGATTTGAAACAAATCAATCAATAAACTTAACATTATTTAAATGTGTAAAATAAAAATATTAATTTATATAAAAAATTTCTTATTCTTAATATACCATATTTTTAAAAAAAAAAAATATTAAAAATTTATTTAAATATTATTAAGAAATCAAAATTAAAAAAAATTAATAAATATATATATATATATATTTATATAATATAAATTATAAGTTTTTATTTTAAAAATACTTTAAAAACTAAAAAAATAATAAAAAAAAAAAAAAGTTTGTTTGTTTTAAAAGGATTAGGAACCATAATATATAAATAATAAAACAAAATTTGCATACATATATATATATATATATATATATATATGTAATGATAGTCTAAATATGATATATTAGACTTTTAAAAACTAAAAAGTAGAGAGATACTGTGAATGTTATATAAAAACTCATATATATTATCTAAAATTCCAAAAAAAAAAAAAAAAAAAGAAAAAAAAAAAGTAAAAAAAATATATATGATTTATTAAAAAAGCAATATATATAATTTTAAAAATAATAAATAATAATAATAATAAAATTTAAAAGATATTTATTCAAAAAAAAAAAAAAAAAAAAAAGGGAAAATTTTAACTTAAATTTCATATTATATATATAATGATTATTGATAATCACATTTTATGTAAAATAATTAATTTTAAATATATATTATAATAATTTTTTTTTTTTAATATTTTCATTTTTTAATATTTTTCATTTATTTTTATTAAAAATTTTTTTTTTTTTTTTTTTACCAAAAGTATGGTTAAAATTACACATTAATTTTTTGATCTTCTTGGTAGTTTAAATTTTCTATTTTTATAATTATCTTCTTTTAATCTTTTTAATGTGGGAGAATTTTTTTTCGTGTTACTATTTTCAATAACTTTTATTTTAGTTGTAGGATATTTAATGTCACTTGTATTAATAGAATTTACACTTGTATTAATAGAATTTACATTTGTATTAATAGAATTTACACTTGTATTAATAAGATTTACATTTGTATTAATAGAATTTACATTCGTATTAATAAGATTTACATTTGTATTAATATTTTCGTTATAACTTGTATTTTTATCTTCTTTTAAGTATTGATAATTAGTATTTTCATTTTCAGTTTCTATTTTATTTAAATCATTATAATTTTTTATTTTTTCATTTTCGAAATTATAATCATTATTTATTGATATATGCATGTTAGTTTTTTGGTTATTTGTGTATTCATTAAAAGAATTATTACAATTGTTATTATATAAATTGGTAGAACTATTTACGTTAAATATATATTCACCACTTAAATTTTTACTTTTTGGAAATTCATTAGCCTTAATAATAAAATTTAAATTTTCATTGATTTTTTCAAATAAACATTTAAAATCGATATTTCTACTAAATGAAATATCTTCTATTTCTTTTAGCAAATTTTTTTTTATTTCTAAATATTTATTATCATTATATACATAATCACTATAATGAAAATCATTTTTTTCTCCATCATTATTTAAATTGATAAAATCTGAATTAATAGAACTTCGTATTTTTTTAATTTCTTCATTTATGTTTTTCATTTCTTCCTTATTTTCTATTTCATCATTTGAAATGATATTAACATCTTGAAAATAATCTTTTTTTAGATTTTCAATTAAATCATTTATATGTATGTTACACTTTTCTATATTTTCTATAAATAAGTTGTTGTATATTTTTATATTTTCATTTGATTTTAAGGCGTGAATATTTGCTTGTTCTTCTTCTAAAACTTCATTTTTCTCTTGTAGAATTTTTTTTGATATAATTTCATAAAGTTGCTCTTTTTCTTTTATATTAGTATTTGTATGATGATCAAATTGTTCTGCTATCTTATCAATAGCTTTATTATTTTTATCTACTAAATTATTGTAAATATTAAAAATATTTTTAATATTATTTTTGATTTGACCTTCTTCATCAATAAATTTTTTGTTTAAATCTATTAAAATATCATCTAAAATTGAATAATATTTTTCAACTTTTTCATAAAATTCGTCATTTAAATTGTGATACTCTTTATGAAAATTTATAGTTTTTTCGTTATAATCACATAAAAAAGTTTTTAATGTTTTCAATGAACTCATAAAAAAATCTTTATAATCTCTTTTAGCTTCCTTGTTTAGTTCATTATTCAATGATTCTAAATTAGTGTTAATTTTTTTGTTAATATTATCAACATTTTTTGATATCACAATTTTTATTTCTTCCAAAACCTTATCTTGGAATAATTGTATTTCTTCATTTATTTTTGTCTTATAATTATTTATAATTTTGCATTTTTTATTACTTAGATTTTCTTCAAGTGTTTTATAACCGTTATCAAAATTTTCAATGAGATATTCAATATTTTCTTTTTCTGTATTCAAAAGGTTAGTTTTTTCATCTATATTCTTCTTAAAATAAAAATTGAAAGATTTAAGAAAAATATGAAATAAATTACTTATATTTTTAATACATTCAATTAAAGATTCTGTATTTATTTCATCTATTGAAAAATAATTGTCAATTTTTTCTAATATATCAATACCTTCATTATTTAATGTTAATTCTTTTAAAATAATTAAATTATTTTTTGTAAGAGATGATTTTAATTTTAAATTATCACATTCATTTGATAAAACTTCATTTGATAAAACTTCATTTGATTTATAATCAACAATTTCATTATCATTTTTTATACCATTTAATGAAATTTCAATATTTTTTTCATTTTTTAAAGTTTTTAGATCATTATTCTCATATTCGTTAGACTCTTTTTTATCTATACTAGATATATTTTCGTTTCTTTTTAAAATTGTATTTTCTATTTTTTCTGAAAAATAATCACCAAAAAGAAATTCTGATGTTATTTCTTTATTTTTAAAATTATGTAAAGATAACAAATGATTATTTGTAAATAATTTAATTTTGCATGTTAATATATTTTTTTTAATTTTTTCAATTATAAATATATAATTTTGATCATATTTTTGAATGATATCTAAATGATCTAAAACAAAATTAATAAGATCTTTTTTCTTAAAATATAAATCACTGTTTAATTTATGAAATCCCTTAATTGATTTAATCAATAATTGTTTATTTTCTAAAATATGTTTTTTTGTGTCTACTAATATTTGAATAACATTTTTACAAATTTCATTTATGGATGAATTATCATGTTGGATATTTTTTTTTAAATTAACGAAATTTTCATTTATAAAAGAAGATATTTTTTTTTGCGATTCTCTATAATGTTTTATGTTATTATAATACTTTTCTTCCATAATATGAAGTTCATTGATTAAAAATTGTGTGATGTATTTTTCTTCAACCATTTTGTTTATCAAAATTTCATGTAATGATTGAATATTTTTATATTTAGAGAGAACATCTTTCATTAAATTTATAATTTGGTTTTGCATATCATCAGTATAATCCATTTTGCTTAATAATGTTTTAATTTTTTTACTTTTTTCAAAAAGAATTTTTTCTTTTTGTAAAATTATTTCTTTATTTTTTTTAAGAGAATTTTGAATATTATTATATTCTTCATTATCTAAATATACACCTCTTTTTTCTCTACTTAAGTTTAAAGCATTTCTTAATTTTTCAATTTCGTTATTTAAATCTTTTATTTTCAACTGTTTAGTAGTTTTTACATTAATTTCTGGTTTATTTTTAATATTTTTAGCTCTAAAAACATAATCAAGAGTACTTAACGTTTCATCAATACATAAAGAAGAAGGAGAAATCGTTGCTACTATGAATGTTTTCGTTTTTCCTCCTAATGAATCTTGTAATAATCTAGTTAATTTTGAATCTCTATATGGAATATATGATGAATTTTCAATTAAAGCATTAATTACTCTACCTAAAGTTAATAAAGATTGGTTAATATTACAACTTTCTTGTTGTCTTATTTTTAAATTACCAAATGAACTTTTTAATGCATTTTCACTTCCAGCTAAATCAACCAAATTTAATTTACCTATTTTTGTTATACTTTCTCCATCACTATTTAAATCTTTCATGATTAAAGTTATTGTAAATATTGAATGACTTCTACTAGATTTTTTATTATAAGATGTTTCAGCTGTCCTTCTTTTTTTAATAGCAGAACATATTATATAATATATTTCTTCAAAAGAATTTATAGTTCTTTCTTCCAGTTTATCTACATTTAATCCTTTATTTTTATTAGTTGTATCTTCATAAATTTTTAATTTATTTGTTTCACTTGTAGAACTTAATAAATCACACAATTCTTCATTATAAATTTCTAAATAACTTACTTTTATGTTAAAATCATATACATTTTTCTCTATATTATATATATCAATACTATTCGAATCTTTATTTTCTGATTTATTTACTTCCATAAATGTTTCCTCTCTATTCATAATTTCTATATTCTTTATATTATTATTTTTTTCTTCAAATTTTTTACTTTTTTCTTCTTTTCGTTTACTTAATATTTCAAATATTCTTTTAGTAACTCTAAAAATAATACCAGTATCATCATTTTCACATAATTCATAATAGCAATTTATATCACTATTTATACTATCATTTAAATCTAATTTTTTATTATCAGAATTTTTCAAAAGTTCTAATATTTTTCCTTCCATTGTATATGTTTTTCCTGTGCCTGTTTGCCCATAGCAAAATAATGTACAATTAAATCCTTCCAAAACCTAAAAAAAAAAAAAAAAAATAAAAAATAAAATAAAAAAATATAATAATATTAATAAAAAGAAGAATATATAAAACTAAATATAAGAAATATATATATTAAAATAAATAAGTAAAATTTAATAGACGTAATTAAATATATTAAACTAAAAAAAAATACTAGTAATATAATATTTAATATATATAAAAATTCTATGCGAAATACTTCAAATAAAAATTAACGTCATTTATTAAAAACTCTTTTTTATAAAGATTCTTATCAAATATTTTTAATAATTTTTTTCTAATTTAAGTATACTTATATAATTATTATTTTAATATTATTATTTTTTTTTTTTTCTTTTTTTTTTTATTTTTACATTACTTCATCAACTATTTGAAAAATATAATTGTTAAATAACATTTTCTGGTCTACATTCTTATCACAAGCATAATCAAAACTATATTTTTTTTCATAAATTTCATTATTTCTATTAACTGTTACTATAACTTCATTATTATTTATTTTAACTACTTCTTCATTATTTATATCATTTTTTTCTTTTTCATTTAAAGGTCTGCATCTCACTATAACTTTTATATTAACACAACTTGCCTTTTCATTATTATAAGAACTTCTTAGCATTTTTTTTTTTTTTTTTTTTGTCAATTGTTTTTTTAAAAAGTAAACTCAAAAAATATATATTTTTTATTTTAATTCTTTAAAAAAGTAATTTTAACACTATAAAAGAAATCATTATTCTGAAAAAATAATATATACATATATATAAATATAAGATGATAAAATTAAACATTTTTGCTTTTTTGAAAAAATGCATATATAATTAAATAATTTTTTACAAAAAAAAATAAAACAAATAAAAATATACATACAATGATCAATAATAAAAAAAAAAAAAAAAATAAAAATAAAATATATGAATAAATAGTAAAATAACAAAATAAAAATGTAATAAATATACAAATTAAGAAATTTTACAAAAATATCTAAAAAAAAAAAAAAAAAAAGAAAATATAAGTTATATTTTTTAATACTAATAAAAAAAAGTTCCATAAAAAAAAAAAAAAAAACTTATGTGCTTTTTACTAAAGTGCTAAAATAAATAAAATTAGAAAGTTCATTATTTTAACTAAAGTTAAATTTTTAAAAGGATATTTTAATAAACAAAATAAAAATGTCTAATTTAAAAAATTTTAAAATATGATACTAAAAAAAAAAAAACTATATATAAATAAAAGAAAATAATGTCTAAAATATATTTAAATGTTATTAAAATACTTTTTAGAGAAAAAAAAATATTCAAAAAAAAATTAACACAAAAAAAAAAAAAAAAAAAAAGAAAAAAAGGAGATATTGCATTCTTTATAAAAATAAAAAAATTACAATTTTTTTAAAAATATTGGTCTTAAATTTAAAAAAAATAAAAATATGATAAAAAATATTTATAAATTTTATTTATAAAAATATTATTCCTTCAGTATAATAATATAAAATTGTTAAATATATTTTTTTTTTTTCTTTTATTTCTTAAAAATATTTCTGTCTATTTATATGTATCTATTTCATAAATTTTTTCTCTCTCTCTTTTTTTTTTTTTTTTTTTTTTTTTTTTTTA